GGAGGAAGACGAGGAGCTGAGGGTCCGGCCTGAATGCTTGTAGGCTGCGACAAGCTCCTGCAGCCGCTCCGGCGTGGGCTCCCACTTGGCAAAGCCGGCGCTGTTCTGCAGGAAGATGACGGCTGTGTTGTGCACAGCCTTGTAGTACATCTCCTCTCTGCAAGGGAAGAGCGCAGACATCAGCACCTCCACTGGCCCCTGCCCAAAGTCGACACCCACCCCTCCTCTTCCTGCCTGCAATCATTAGGACAAGTATTCACCTCTGCCCTTCCTCTCATTACGCTGAGGAAATGCAGGCACAGTGCGGCCTTCGGCAATTCCGTGTACAGCCGAGGCTCCGGAGCTTTCAGAGGGAAGCACTGATGCAGCAGAGCTGTGTTGCTCTCTACCAGCACACGTGCTGGGGGACCTTGCTGTCCATACAGAAGGGACTCAGCACAGTGAGGCATCAGTCCTAACCAGTTATGGAGAGCTTTAGTGTTCAGGCACTTGTGGCTTAAGCAAATTGTTGCTCAAACTTGTTGCCTCAGCAGCAGAGCAGGGGTCAGACTGCCCCCACCGCCCCTTGCCTCGGCTCCCTGCAGTGACACTCAGCTGCTGCAGCACAGGTGGCTCACATGCCCAAGGACTGGCAGAGGAGCACAGAGCAGCACCACAGGTGTGCCCTGTTCTGGCTGGACTCGTGCCCAAGGCGTGTACCTCTCACAAGCTCTGTTAGCAGTCATTAAACTGATATGGAATTCACAATGCTGTCTGCCCATCCTAAACACCCAGGGTGATGATGCGCTACATTTGTCCTTGCCTGCTCCCTGCTTCCCACTGATCTCAGTTGGGAGAGGATATTTCTGTCACACAGCTTCAGAGCCGTGTTCCCAGAAGGATCTGAGAACAAAGCCTACTTTTTGCAGACGTGCTGGGACCCGCTGCGGTACTCGTGATCGAAGGCTGGCAGGATGAGCTGGTGCCGCTTGAACTTGCTCTGCTCCATGCGGGTCAGGGCTGGCGTGGGGGGGTCTCGCCACTCGGGGATGAAGACGATGAAGGAGAGCGGCTCGCTGGAGCTCTCCAGCAGTTTCTAGCGCAACAAGGAAAGGAATAATCTCAGCACTGGCTGAGCAATGACGTGCCTAACGAGTCCTGTGGAAACGCTTCTGCTTTGAGAGCAGTGCTGCAGCCGTCACCCTCCTCTGCCCCACCGTGAGGGGGCAGGAGTGGTGGGGAGCACAGAACAGATGGCACAGCTCTATCCCGAACAACCCCACTGGTGAGCAGACATACCTCAAAGTGAGAGACCATGGCATCCATCAGCTCCTCACAAAACGGAGGATTTGCCTCAAAAGAGCCACTTATAGGGAAGAAATCCAGGCACGGGCTGGAGAAAAAGGCAAAGATCTCTATCAGCTCGTCCTGAGTCATCCCACAGGCATGCACCCACACAGACACACAGCTGGGGAACATAAGACTCACCCCCTGGATCCAAAATACCCGTCTGTGTCCAAGAAGGCCGAACAGTACTGTTTAAAATAGCAATTCAGGGGCGAGGCAAAGCATTCAAAACTCACTCCGAAGAGCTTGTGAAGGACTTCGAAGACATGCACGGGAAGTGCCCCTTGCAGACCAGTCCCTTCGTAGAGACCCACACCGAACATCATCTGAGGAGAGCAAACCCTGGTGAGCTGTGCCTGCTGCTCCCTTCACTGTCCCAGGGCCACACGTCCATGCACCTACTCCTCTACGAAAGCAGGGCCCCCTCGTCCTTTCTCAAGTTCATGTAGGTCCCTGCATATACCCAAGAATGCTCTTTAGAGATTTCATCCAACTGTGGCCCCACAAGCCATTGCTTTTCATGTGTAACTCCAAAAGCCTTCAGCTGCCTCTTAGAGTCACAGACTACTAACGATTTCCTTCACAAAAATCTTTATCCTCACTGACATCTCCTGTCAAAACCACAAACGCTCCCCAGACCACAGTCTTACACAGTTCACAGACATCAGCACACTGGGAGCAGAAAACAGGCCCTGTTTAAAGCCTGTATTGCTCCAGACTCCCAGAGACATGGCTCTTCCCAGATCACAAACAAATTCAGTCCCCAGTGCTGCCATGGCTTTCTGATGCACAGCTGTGGGGAGAACACACCTGGTATCGACGGAGAAGGCACCAAACCCTGGGCAGGAACTTTTCAAAGCCCGAGTCGTCGATGCAGCTGTACCGATAGAGAAGCCACTGGAAGAGAAAGCCCAGCACTGAACACACCAGGAACAGCCAAGGTATGGAGGTTGTGCACATTGTGACAGGGAGAGGTATGCTGAGGAACAGGAAAAGCAGCTGAGCTCTGCGGGGAGGTGTGTCAGCACATCTGCTGTCACCACGTGGGCACCAGCTCGTCACTACCATGAATGAACCACCACACCAGCATGTGTGTCTCAGCAAGGGCTGCCTCGCTGCGAGTACAACGTTCTGGCAGCACAGCAAATATCCAGAGCACACCCCCAACACTCGTGAAATACTCCCAGCAGGACCTTGACCCCAACTGAGGTGAGAGCAGCTGTCCCCATTCCTGCAGCAGCGTCTGACAGCCCTGTGGGATCAGCTGGCCATCCTCTGCCCAGCACCCCGAGGAGCAGCAGGCCTGGCCCCAGCCCTTACCAGCTTGCTGAAGTAGTTGCGGCTCACTTTGACCATCTCCCCCTTGTACCGCACACACGCCACGTTGTTCTCCATGTGCATCTCCACACTGGGGAGCGGTGGGGAGGGGATGGCCAGTCTCACGGGGTAGCAGTACACCAGCCTGTCCTGGACCTCAGGAGCTTCTACCTCAGCTATGGAGAACAGAGATAAAGGCAGCCCATGAGAAGCCAAGGGGATTTGGGAGCAATCTTCCTTCCATCTCAAAACACAGAGTGACCCAAATAGGGCTAAAGAGCAGGGTGGTCCCTCCAAAAACAGCTTGATGGTCCTTTGCAGGTCTCATAGGCAGCTACATAGGTTCAAAGCTGATTCCCTCAATTAATTCCATCTCCCACTGCCAGTGCACAGAGAGGACCCACTTCACAGCATTTCCCCACCTCCTACCCAGCAGAGCTGCAGACAGCAAACAGCCACCCCAGTGTCCTGAGGCATGTTCCAGACACACAAGTACTTTCCTGGTTGCCACTGCTTCTATGTCAGTTTACCCCAAACTAATCCAAAGGACAATAAATATTCCCAGGCTGCCAAGAGCAGGAGGCAAAGGAATCTCCCTGCCACCTT